AGGCACCTGCAACATAAACATTAACTCCGGGTGGAAAGATGTATAGAAGGAAGCCCCTGAATCCAGTATTCAGTAATCAACTAAACTATGAACTGCAAGTAATAGTGAATTATGTAATTCTTCAGTTACAACATTAGCGGTATCATTCTCTGTCTTCTTAGGATTTTTGCAGTTCTTTTTTATATGGTCAACTTTACCACAATTCCAGCAAGTTGTTTGCTGACCATGCATTGACTTGCTCTTACATCTGTGCTTTAATTTTGATCTTCCTCTGTTTAAGTTTTTTGTCTACTAATATCCCTCAAGAATCAACGTTCAATGTTAAACTCAAACCCAAGATCTTACCAGATTTTTTTCCTACGCACCTCCTCAACCAAAATCAAATAATGAATATCATCATATTTTAGCTTAGATTTACTAGCAAAATTGCTAACAACCACCCTCATGGCTTCCCAGCTATTTGGCAAAGAAGCCAACAATATCAGTACTCGTTTCTCATCATCAAATTCAATTTTAACAGACGATAATTGATTTGTGATAGTATTAAAATCATGCAGATGTTATGCAACAAACATACATTTCACCATCTATAAGTTGAATAACTTTTTCATCAAGTCTATCATGTTATTCGCTGACGGCTTTTCATACATACCTGACAGAGCTGTCATGAGATCTGCAATTGTCATTTCCTTGATGTTTGTGTGCAAAAGATCTCAACAGAGTTAATCGAATAACTCCCAGAACTTATCTATCCAACAGATTTCATTCAGCATCATTCATCTTTTTCGGTCTCTTTCCCAATAAAGGAATATGAAGTTTCTTCTCATAAAAATAGTCTTCTATCTGCATCCTCCAGTAACAAAAATGGGTGTCATCAAACTTCTCGATCCTTGGTATTGCCACTTCATCTCCAGCCATCGTTTTCCTCATATATGAACCACAGCTCTGATATCAATTGTTGTGAAAACAATTGACAATAAAGCGAAAAATATAAATGAGAATCACACAAACACACGGATTTACGTGGTTCGACAAATTGTCCACGTCCCCAAAACTGCAAAGAACTTTATTGCTTGAGGAATCACACAGTTGATCACTTCGATTACAATAGCTCTCCATGATTTCCCCTCTCTCCTCCTTCCTTTGGCTTCGCCATCCGCAAACTTTCAGAACCGGAAAAAAAAAAAAAAAATCCCTAAAAGCACTAAACTCAGTAACTCATGGATTAAATCCCTAAAAGCACTCTCAACTTTTTGACTGCATGATAACGTGCTTCAGACTACATCACAGCAATAAACTAATTGATTTTATCTTTATTTTCACGTTACCGTTTCAACTGAAATAGTTAAATCTTAAAATCCCTTGCAGGTATATTTAAATGAGATGGTAAAGTGCCTTAGTACATTGTTGGAAACTATGAAAGTTCAAAATGATAAGAAATTGCATAAAAATTTCTCCCAAAAAAATGTAAAATAGTTTTACTCCTTTGTACATGATATGTGGTTGAAATAACAAAGACTTCAAATGAATTTTTTTTTGAATTTGAAGTATCATACGTTAGTATTTGCAAAAAAAATATTAAACTATAAGAAAAATGTTATGAAGGGGGGATATCCAAATAAACAAGGCAAGGTTATCATGGCTTGAAAGTTGAAAAATTAAAGTTGTCGCTAATTTCTTTTTACTCACTGGACCGTTTGGATTTTAGAAATAAAAAAAAAGTGTGGCATGTATATAAGTTCCCCAAAAAAAAAGAATCACAGAAAAGCAGAGAACCAACGCCTTTGATGTAAAAAAAGCTGAGCTTCCTACATAACTGAACACGAGCGCCCATACAGGAATAACAAAAAAGTTTAAGCAACATAAATACAAATCCCCAAATTATAATATGCTTAGCCTATCCTTTATCCAAATTCCGATTCACACATATCTACCCTTTCTGTATTTTTTTTTTTTTAGAAGCTATGGTTCCTAAAAAAAAGGAAAGAAGCCATGAATAATATACATGCAAACATCCAAAGATCTAGCATTATATGAAGCTCGCCATAACTAAACTGCCGAAGAAGGGGAAAATTATAAATAGCTTACCTCAACAAGCCACTAAATCAGAAACGAGAAAAGCAAGAAACCCCAAAACGACAGTTCCAGAAAGGAAGGAAGCTCCACCAAAATTTCAGACCCGACACTCCTAAGGATCTAAGATAGTCGAAAGAAGAATCCTATGGCTAGACCCTAAATCCTAAGAGGAAACTAAACCTCACTAAAAATGAGGTCAACAAGTGAGTGTCAGCTACAACCTTTAGATCTAAGGTTAAAATCTACCTTTAAAAGCTGCGAAAGGTAAAATGCGGAGAGAAAAATGGTTACCAACTAATGGTTATACGATCTGGAGAGAGGACCGAGATGACGCTGTATTCAACCGAGAGAGCTATGGCTGGCGAATGAGAGAACCGAGCGAGAGGGGCACCAGGTCTTCGGGTACGAGGGCCGAGTCTAGCGGAGCAGGCAAAGCCGAGCGGCTAGGGCTGCGGTCGAGCGAGGAATAGGGAATCGGGTTCGGTCGCAAGGAAGGTGGTTTTGGCTGTGAGGAGAGGAGTTCGGCACGAGGGTTCGGTTGTGGTGAGCTGGAGAAATTTCAGTGCTGGGAGGCGAAGCAGGCGAATGCGGGGGAGGAGTGCGGGGGTTCTGGTCACAGAGAGGAGAGAGGGGGGTCCGATGTAGAGGAGAAATCAAATCCAGAGAGAGCGGTAGATTCGAGATTCGAGAGGGAGCCGTTTCGTGAAAACTTTGGCGGGGAATTAAATACCTTCCTTTGATGTATGCGGCTCAATTGGAAAATAATAACACGGGATTATTTTCAATTAATATGAGGTTTAAATATTCTATTTGAATTTTGAAATTTAAAATTTAGAATTTGAAATTCAGCTGAAATAATTAGTCTGTGCTTAGCCCATATCCAGATCAAGTCAAACTCGAGTTGAATCAGGGCTGAGCTCGGGCCCAAAACCACTAATTAAAAAAAAAAAGACGCGCTTGTGCACGGAACCATAGTGATATGGGTGTCCTTTCTAGCTAAAGTCGACATTCGGGACGCACTGTTGTAATCTGTTTCGTCATCCGGGGTCGTTCGGACAAGTTTGCTGATGGTCGAGCCAAAAATGTGTCAACTTCGCACGTGGTGTATCGAGTGCGTTGCTGAGTCATGGAGGGTTCACCTAAGGCCGTCTGATTCTTTAGGAACTCATTTTTCGGGCCCTTTACATGTTGGTCGCTAGCCCTTGCAACTAGAACTTGAGTGCATGGGACTACTCATGCGAGGTCTGCACAAAAAACGAGTCAAGAAGTGGCTCAAAGTTCTATAGGATGTGGGCTCAATTGCTAATACGCTAGGATAGTCAATAAGAACTCTTAAGGCTAGATTTTGAGTTCTGAGAGTAGGAAACTAAGACATCACTGAAAATGAGGTCAACAGCAGCAATCTCGTTGTCATTGACGAGATCCAACCCAGCGTTCCCATGTTCCCATGATCCCACCACTCTAATTATCGAACCGAGCGCGATGAATGTTTGTTTTTTAAATCTAGAAGCATTCCTTTAATTACTATAGGATTTTAATGTTTGGGTGAGGGGTTGCTGCACCCAGGATTTAATAAATCATGTAATTTAGATTTATCATTATAAAGTTTTCTTAATAGTTGCATATTTTATTTTGTGATGTATTTAATAGAAAATATTAAAATATAAATTTATATTAATAATTTATTAAATATAAAAAACATGCCCATATCATATCGTATTCGGAGTAGGAAACTAAGACCTCACTAAAAATAAGGTTAACAGTCCCATGTTTGAAGCGGGAGAAGCTCCCTTCCCACGTTAAATGTTCTCGTTAGCCTCGCTGGATGTCCCAAGTCTGTGTCTGTGTGTCTGTGTGTCTATATATATATATACTATCTATCTATTTAAGCACCGGAATCATATATATAAGCTCTAGATAATTAGAATGACCCATGACAAAAATGAGACACCCAATCCTTAAAATGAGTCAGTTGGCTTTCTTTACATTGGAATCATGAGGACCTCGTGCACGTGCGTCCCACGTCCAAAGCGGGAAAAGGTCCCCTCTCCCACGTCCCACGCCAAATTCTCCAGCGTCAACCTCACTGGATAGCCCAAGTCATGCGCGTGCGCATGTGTCTATATATAATAATAATAATAATAATAATAATAATAATAATAATAATAATAATAATAATAATAATAATAATAATAATAATAATAATAATAATAATAATAATAATAATAATAATAATAATAATAATAATAATAATGATCCTATTAAAATATAATATTTAATAAAATTGTTTGTTATCTTTTTTGCGAGGTGCAAAAAGCTTAGGGGACAAAATTTAGAGAAAGTTTGATTTTATTAATTCATTATTTTGAGTATTATAGTGTAGGTGGGTGGCTGGGAATTCTTTTTATAAAGGAAACAATGAGTGCTTGTAGTAATATTAAGTAAAAGAGAGTAGTGAGAAAAAAATGACTATTTTTTTGGGTTAATATGGAGCATTATTTTGATGAACAAACTTTGGTTATACTATAATTTTTGTGATGAGTCCTTAGTCTTCTTTTGAGGAACTTTTGAAGTAGATTTTTTTTTTGTGTAGTATTACTTTAATTTTTTATTTTGGTCATCACTTTTTTTTGTTATTTCCTCTTTCATTTGTCCCAAAAGAATTAGGGTTTTTCTTTTGTTGTGAGATTGGTGTGCTTGGCTTTGTGAAATAATACTTTATTGTTTATTCGTTATTTATACTTAATTGTGCGTTCTCTATATTGAATTGAATTTTCTCCCCTCTTCTGTGGACACAAGTTTATTTTACTCGAACCATGTAAATCTCGGTGTCTTTTTATAGAGCTTGATCTACTTGTTATTGTTTTGTGAGTTTGTTGTATTCACTCTGGGTGCACTTTTAAATTCAATTTGTGTTTCCTAACATGATGTTGGAGCTTGATAAAGTATACGATGGCTATGATGTTCTGAGATCGATAAGTTTGAGATCTCGAGAAGTATTGGACTGTAGAGGACCGAGATTTGTGGTATTCTATTTAATTTTGTATTGTGCAATGACTCATATGGCATTGGAATATCTTTAAGAATGGTGAAGAAGATTAACTTGAATGAAAAAGCTCTTTCGGCTATCCAATTATTTTTGGTAGACAATCTTGATGGTGCTCTTGAAGAAACAGATTTAAAGGAGTCACATTCTCTTTTAATTAAGCATTATAGTTTAAATCACTCTAATTCCTAATAAGCATAGGTGGAGAGTGGTAGGTTGTTGTTAGTTCAAGTTGTCCTAAAAGGAACTAAAAGATTGAACTGTATTATACTTTAACATTATATGTTGATGTCATACCCTTACTTTACTGAACTTGTGCATATTAGTTTTATGTTTTTGTTTGAATCCATTCTACTTCTCGGTGGCATAATTTTTTAAGAAGCTGCATCATCTCTGATAATTAGTCTATATTACATTCATAAATCTAAGTTGAACTGCATTCGATTTGGTAGGACTGAATCCCAACCTTTTATTTTTATTATATTACCAAGAGTTTCTAGTGATCAATCTCTGTCATCATCATTCTATCACCATATATGCACTCATTTATTTTTGTTAGAAGTGCCTTGTCAAGCAATATTTTGAGAATAACTTATTTGTTTTTTTTTATTTTTTGATTTTTTATTTAATTATTTTTTTAGTTAAGGACATACTGGTGATGATGACCTTGAGGGTATGCATTTTTTTTCTCTTGCATCATGTTAGTTTATTGGATTTGACATGATTTCAATCTTAATGAAGTTTAGATTAGTTTCCATAGTGCTTTTTGATTTAGAGAATGAAGCAGCTGTTACAATATAGTTGTGGTTAGTTGTTGATTTTGAATTTGGGAAATTTACATACCCAACACTCAATTGTTACAGAGAAAAGTGCCAATATGGTTCCTTGACTTTTTAAGGGTGGTCATTTTAGTCCCTGACTTTTAAAAAGTGTCAAATTAGTCCCAAATTATTGAAAAAAAGGTTGAAATAATTTATCGTTAAAAAATCAGAAATTGTAAAATTAATGAAGCTACGGTTTGGAGAGGTAGTTTGGAGTTTTAATATTTTGTTGAATAATTTACATACATACCAATGACTGTCTAGGGCTTTCGCGTGATAAGAGGTGTCATGACTTGCGAGACGAGGTGGGTATGATGAGCGTGGCATTTCAGGGGCGTCAAGCATAAGAAGAGGTAAGGCAAGGCCATCGAGCGTTTCAGGGGAACCAAGATGAGACATGGTGGTTTAGGATGTTCATGTGGATTCTTTGATGGGCATCAACTTAAATTTTTTTTTTTTTTTTGGTGTTTTGGTAAAATTTTATTTTAAGCTTATACATGTGTGGAGTTACATGTGAGCTTTTATTAATGTCTCTGATGAATGTTTTTATTTTTTTATGATTCATGGATCTTTTTTAATGTTATTATTGTTATAATTTAGATGATTTGACTTTAAGTAATTTTTTTAAATGTTAATTTAACAATTTTATTAGTACAATATGAGCAAATCTTTTTAAAATTTTAGGTGGCTATATTTATTAATTTATTTATTTATACTCTAAATATGAAAACCACATAAATCCTGTAATGGTTCGTTTAGTGGTGGCAGTTGATTGAAGTTATAACATTTTTTAATATATTTAATTTTTTATTTAAATTTATCCTTTTTGCTGTTGCAGCTAGAAAGTATGGTTTAAACTCTTCAAATTTGTTGAAACTTCTTAAAACACATTTTTTTTAACTCGAAATCATCATTATTTAAAATAAATTATTTGCATGATATTAATTGAAACCTAAGTTAAAACTGATTGCATATTTTTATTCGGGCATGCAAATTGTTGATGCATATTTTTAAATAATCAGCTAGCAGTTGAAATAAAAGGCCTTTAGTTTCATCAGTTGTATATTGTCACTCAAAAGTTGCTATAATTATAAAAAAATATTAATAAAATTACATTAATGTTCTTTGAAGAAGGTATGTATCAATCATCTTTTAAAATAATCTTAATTAAACAAATCTCATCATGTTGGTTATGTTTAAATAACCATAATTATTTGATACATATCTAACACCTATATTTTTGAATTTTGGCTCATGACCTCCTAAAAAACATTATTCTAAACTTCCCTATTTTAAACACACCTAACTTTAATTTTTTTATTGTTTTAATGCAGGGACTAATTTAAGCATTTTTTCAATAGTTTGTCACTAATTTGGTACTTTTAAAAAGTCGGAGACTAAAATGACCGTCTTTAAATAGTTGGGGATCATTTTGGCATTTTACTCAATTCTTATGTATGTACATATCACAACTAAACTTTCATATTTACATACATTGCACTTTGGTGGTTTATTATGCTTGAAAAAGGTGTATTTCACTTTTAAAACGTGGTGATAGCACTATTTTTGAAGTGATATGTGTGTAACTGTGAAAGTTTAGGTGTGAGATATGTAAATACATAAGAATTGTGTGCTATGTATTTAAACGCCCCTTTGAATTATTTTAAGGTGTTTTTGTGGACTATTGCTGGAATTTTATAGGCAGTTTGGCTTATGGTATCAGTATTTGGATGCTGAAATTGGATTTTATTTGTGTGAAGTAATTATGAAGAGCTGAATTGTAGTTACTATTGTTTTGGACTTTGGATGTTGGCCTTATTTGTAGCTATTTTAAGGGTGGAAATGTTTTTTGGAGCCATCTCTTGGATTTTTTTAGGCTGTTGTGATATTTCTTTTTTGTAGCTTGTGTTTTATTTCTTGGGAGGTTTTGGTTTTCCTTAGAAAATGTACTATAAGCTGCTTACGAGTTTTGTACTTTATTTTTGGTGTGTTATTGTGCATTCTGAGGGCTTATGAGAGGAGCTAATTTGTCCAGCAGTTTGTATAAGACTTATGGAATTTAAAGTTTGGTTGGGATTATTTTGATCGTTTGCATATTTAAATTTAAATATGTCCATGAACAAATGTTATGAGACATGTCATTTTGGGGCTGAATAAATTTCTTTTTCACATTTAGTCTTATGAGCGCACATTGGATATGTGATTCTTTTATGGGCGGCAAAAGTGTCACTATTTAATTTTGAGGGAAATCATCTCTTTGTCAGCACAATGTCTAATTTCTCATATTTTGCGTACTTCATCACTTATTTTTCTTCTCATCTATATTATTTGATATTCGATCAATCAGTGCTTTTGATTTTTTCAAATTTGGCACATAAGAAATTTAATTTGTGAAAATTCATCTATAATTTCTTATTGATGTGCTTTTAAACTGCTGTTGAATTTCTCGTATCGATGTGATCAGTTAGTTATCAATTGGGCTTTGATAGAACTTTTGCTTGTGATCAATCAGTACTTTTAATCAAACAAATATTCAATTCATTGATTTCCTATGTCATTTGAATTCTTAATTTCCTTTGGATAAATTCATTCTATGCATTATATTAGACATATTATAAAATTTTCTATTCTAAACTGTCATTTCAATTGTTGCTGATGATAAATATTTCTCTTTACCTGGCTCATAAAAGTGAGATTCTAAAAGTCAAAGCTTTTTTGCTGATTTCTTAGCTATCAAGGTGTTATTGTCTTCTTTGAGTAATTTTAAATTTAAATTCACAGGTTCAAAAGCCATAGTTTTTCAGTGTTTTCTTAGCATTGAAGCCATCAGTGTCTGTCTTTCTGCTCTAACAATTTCCAGTTTTAGGGGGTCTGTCGTCTTTCAGCTGTAATAATTTACCAGAATTTACATTTTATCTGATTTAGTAAATCCGGTAAATCCGGATTTATCAAATCCATATACTTTTAAATCCAGCTAACGTTGTTAGACATAGCTGACATTTTATTTCAGATTCTTATAGCCATGTTTTTTTTTTCAAAGTTAAATCCGTTAAATCCACCAAATAGTTGGATTTAATGAATCTGAATTTACATTTAAAAATAAACTGAAGGGAGAGAAAAATGGATTTAACAGGGTGCGGGATTTAATTTTCCATTTTTTTTGGGTTTGTCTGGATTTATGTTAAATCTAGCCTAAATCCTGTTAATATTACGCTATCGAGCACCCTCTTATGATGCTTGGGTTCTTCATGATTTATCTGATAGGTGTCACTCATTATATTTGTTTTTTCATTTTTTTCTTAAATGTGAGAGTTTATGTTCCAAGCTTGACCATTTTTTCTAGTAATTTTACAAAGGTTTTGTAATGTCATGATAAATATGTTCATCCACTTAACGATTGCTATTTACAGCTCCGTGACAGCATCTCTCAAGATCAAGAAAAAACTGAATCTCTAAAAATTCAAATTAAGGAGTGGGAGAGGAGTATTCAAGGAGTTGAGAGTAAAATCCTCCATGAAGAAAACACATTAAAAGAGTTGCGTAAACTCCAGGAACAGATATCGACCCATACCACTGCTAGAAGCACTTTGTTTAAACTTCAACAGACTCAATATGGTGCCCTTGCTGAGGAAAATGAAGGTTTTGTCCTCATGTTGACATTCTAAACAAATTTAATTCTTCAGATCTGCTTTGTTTGAATAAAAAATCTTTTATAAATTTATTTTATGAGCTTTAAGGTAATTGTTTAGTGGAGATGTAGTGTTATGCATCAGAACCATCTTTAACTGCTCCAAAAAGTTGTCTAAGCTCTACATTTTTTATTGATCAGAGGCTGACCGCTTATTGAAAGATTTGTGCATGTCTGTTCGTCTTAGCATTTAAATACTAGTGTTGAAGTAGCTGTATAATGCTGCATGCCTAATCTATCAAATTTATAATTTCAAACACTTTTAGGCGATGACTATGCTGATAAATAGGTCTTTGTTTTGCACTCTCAGTTGTGCAATGCATTAACTAAAGCTACTTAGAAGAAAAACCTGTGGCAATTTAACAATTAACATAATTTGATAATATTATTGTGGAGGAACAATATATGCATTCATACATCCGTGAATGTAAATTTTTACCTGTTTCATTAAAGGACCATTGAACCAAGCACTGCATAGAATAAAATTTTGGAAGTTGGTGGGCAGATTGGAGTTCTGCTCTTGTTCGGATAAGTGCACTTACGATTTAAATTATTTTAAAGGCCGCATTTGTTTTATTTGTTTTGTTGAATCCTTTGATAGCTATTTTTATTTTTTGCCTCACTTTTGTCTTATTATTTTTTGGCTGTGTGGCAGGTTCATTAGATTTTTTAGGTCTTCTTCATCATTAGATTCTGTTAACGTACATCTCGCCCTCGCCCCTGGTTATTCCCTATGCTAAAGTGAACTTGTTTTGAAACTTTGAATGATAAAACTGTCCTATCCGTTTCTATTTGCACCTCATAGTGGTTTTGATTGTATTGGTTTCTGCAGGCACTGCTATATTCATTTTTTCAACCATTTTTCTTATAAAAATGATAATACTTACTCCTAAGTTTGGACTTTCAATTCTCATAATTATAAACATATCTTTCTATTTAATGCTTTTGTTGTTAGTTTTTGTCCGTAGTTTACATGCTTTGTATAGCAGCACTGTTTTATATTTGTATCCACACAGTTTGAGTTTCTGTTTGCATGATTTAGATTGGTTAGTTATTTAAAATTCAAGTGGTTCACCTCACTTGAGCGATCGCAGCTACACCTTCTACTTTTTGCTCTGAATTGTCAAGATCACATGCAGTTTGGTCTCATTTGACATCACTTGTGTTTTCTGTTTCTATTTTTGTTTTTGCTTCTATTTTTATTTATGAAAGCATGTTTGCTTAGTATAATTTTATATAACTTTATTATTTTTTTAAAACAAAACATCTTGTTTTAAAACAAATCACTTAGTTTTTAGAAACACTCAAAAACTCCTAAAAAGTGTTTTTGAAAAAACTATTATAACCAAACTTATTTTAATTTAAATCAAAATATAAACACAATAAATGAAAATTTTAAAATAAAAGTGATTCCAAACAGTTCCTTTACTTTTCTCATTGTGCTTTGAAAAAAATGAAGAACCTTTCTTTATGGTCCTTTTCTTGGTTAGATACGGATGAGGAGTTAAAAGAATGGCAAACAAAATTTGAAGAAAGGATAGCACAGCTTCAATCTAAAATAAGTAAACGGGAGAGGGAGATGAGCGATGAAGAGACCAAAAGTTCTTTGCTTTCACAGGCAATCAATGATTCTATGCGGGAGATCGGAAAGCTGCAGGCTGAAAGTGATGTATGTTTCATGCTTTTGCTTGATATTGCTTTATTTTTTCAATAGAATGTGTTTTTTATATGAGTGTTTCTTTTCTAGGCACACATGTCAGTGAAGCGAGAACATGATTCAACGATTCAAAGGATTTTTGTGAAGTGTAACCTTGGATCCCTTCCAGATTCTCCATTCAGCTTTGAGATGGGAAACAACCTCACTAATAAAATAAAGACAAGGTTGTTCGATCTTGAAAAGGATTTACAGGAGAGGAAGGTAATCTTTAGTTATTCCATAAACACCATTTTTGATGTTAAGGATTAACGTACAGTTTTGTATCTTGGAAATAATATTAGAAAGCATTGATGATTGGAAATGTTTATTATGCTTTCAAAATGTCAATGATGCTATTATGGATCTGCTTTTCTGTTTTCTCACATTTGGGTTCCTATTCCTAAGTTATGCTATTTTGTGAGAAAATCGATTTACTAAAATGCTATTCCTGCAAAAAAGTTCATTCTCGACCAATGCTGAAATAGATTTAATTTTTCCATACACTGACATCTATATAGAAAGATCTGTTAAAGAAAAATAAAAAGAATCCCTTGAAATGAAAAAAAAAACATTTTAAAAATAAAATAATTTAAAAGAAAGCAAAGGAAAACTAATTAAAGCAGAAAGAAAGAAAAGGTATATATAAAAAAAGGGGAAAATAGTAAAAGTAAATTAAAAATTCTAATTAAATGAAAACAAAAAATAATTAAAGGAAAATAATAATCCTTAAAATAAAAAATTATGATTTTACTTGATTTGTGCTTTGAAACTCGCTCGCTCTCTACATTACACACTTTTGTAACAATGATTTTATCTCTCGTAGCGTGCGACTACATGCAACCTGACCTAACAACTTATGAAAGCTTGTAGTCACTCGAGCTCTTTTGTTGTCCATCACTGACATCAAAGTCCACTGTCTCAGTGTGCCACTTGTTCTTTCACAACGTTATTTTGACATCCCTTAAAGTTAGCCATGCATAGTGCTAACCCGCAATTCTTACGCTATATGATCTCGGCTTTTGATTTGCAAATCGATTAAACTTTAACCCTAAAATTGCAAATTCTTTTATGTATAAAATATCATTCTTTTCATGTAAATATTTTTGAGGCGTCACCCAATTTGCCTTAATGCATATACCTTGATTAAAAAACGTGCAAATCTTGCTCAAGATAATAAATCATAAACCTTGTTGGTTTGACGGGGTACCTTGAGATGGTGCCTTATGCATTTTTAAACTGATCTCGGCTTTTGATTTGCAAATCGATTAAATGACAATTTTAATCGATTTGATGGGGTACCTTGAGATGGTGCCTTATGCATTTTTAAATGACAATTTTAATAATAAGAAAAATTCTATATGTAACATATTTCGTCAATCAAACCTCTTAATAGCTCTTGAATTTGACCAAAACCCATCTATTAACTTTAAGCTATCTTGAAGATTCTATACATTGAAATTCACAATCTTCTCATACATGTAACCATCAATTTAGTAACTTTTGTCGCATTTAGAGGATGATGAAATGATTTTAAAGATTTTTGAAATTATGCATGCCACTAGTTTTACACACACTGAACAATGATCAAATAATGATCGAACATGGACTAGAAGATGATTCAATTATTGTTTGATGATTTTCCGAAGATGATTCAAATATACTTTGAAGAAAGTTTTAAACATAGTTTGGAGGTTGTTCAATCATTATTTGAAGATTGAAGATTGTTCTGTCACTATTCAAAGATTCTTTAAGGATATTCAATCTTTATTCGATTATTTTTAGAAAATTTGACTATTGTTCGTAGTTGTTTGAACATTGTTTAAATATTGTTTGAAGATGCTTCAAACAAAATTTGATCCTTGTTTAATCATGGTTTGGTTATTTTTCAAGATTATTCAATCATTATTCGAAGATGGTTCAATTGTTATTCGATTATAATTTGAAGATGGTACTATATTTCTTTAGTTATGGTTTGAAGATGCTTCAAAGGTGATTAGATCATGCTTTAAATATTATTCAAATAGAGTTTGCTCATTTTTTTTACTCATCTTTTTTTGGAATTGACTCATTTACGCTATTTTGTTATATAGGTAATTGTCTAATCAAATCACATACCAGTTGAGAGACACTATAATGCTTGAGTTATATACAAGGTTGGGGTTGTGATGCAGAAATAGCTTTAGAGAGTTTGGTGCTTATGAACTCATTAGCAAAATTGAGAGTTCCCAATTTCGTTGGTTCTTTAGAGCATCTGATCTTTAGTGTATCACATATTACAATTGATGATTGAAGATGCTTAGAATATGGGGTACTTCATTGTATTCAATGTTACAAGGGAACACACATTTGGAGTTATTGAGTTTACTTATGGTTACTAGGCTATACTTTTGTGTCCTTTAGTTTGATGTTTTGTACAAAATATAAACAGAATAGTTGAATGCTTGATAACTATTTGTTCAGGGACACAAACTTCAAAAATACGAAGTTGGAGAGAGCTTTATTGGAGTGTTTTGAAACAAGATGATGTTTGAAAGCTTGGCTTTTGTTTCTTTGTAAATGTTGTGCTCAATAATCATGACATCATGGCAAATACAATGCTCTTTTCACAAAGATGATTTATATGGTTGAAGAGAAGGATGTTTTTTTCCACTTAAATACTCATGGGGTAGACTAGACAAGGGAAAATATTGAGGGATATAATAAGCTATTAGGCCACTCATTTGAAGAAGAATATCTTAATCCGATTCATTGTAATTATATATGCCATATCATTGTGGTATTGGGTTATGAAGTCACTTTAAGAGTTGGGGAAGAGATGTGCTAAGTTCTTAATCAGGAGTGCACTTGTGATGCTGAACTAGAAGAACAATGAAGTGCTCATACATAAGGATTTCCTGGCATTGCTTATGATTGATGATATGTGTGTGTGTGTTTGTTTGTGTTCATTGTTTGGTTGTAATTTAAAATTCATGCACTTTTGACTTGTTTTTTTTGTGAAAAGCTGAACTCTTAAACATCAAGGCGCTTTTTGGTGTAACGGCTGGAGTTTCGTTAGAAACTCTAATGTTAAATGTGCTCGCATGGGGGGCACTCCAAGAATGGGTGTGAGAAGCTACACCAATAGGACAAAACAATGAGGTCATTAGGCGAAAGCGAAAAATATCTTGATGGCTGAGAGTTCAGGTTGTTACAAGTGGTATCAGAGAATTACACCAGCCTGAAGATGTGAACTAAATGCAATACAGAGCAAAGGCTATGCCATGGGAGCCACCTTTTGAACTCAAGATGAGACAAAGTGCTACTTCGTGGGGGGCCACCTCTTAAATTTGTAGGGGCCACATCTAGAATCCTATATGTTTGGTGGATGATTCTGGGTTTAGAGCACCCACGAGGACGTCAATTACTTTAAGTGAGGGAGCTTGTAACACCTCTTGAGTAGAAAGAACTTGAACTCTTAGACATCGAAGTGCCTTTTGGTGCAACGATTGAAGTTTCATCAGGAGCTAATGTTAAGCGTGCTCGCATGGGAGTACTTCTAGGAAGTTACACCTATGGTATAAAGCGTGAGCAATTAGGTCAAATCAAACAATATCTCGATGACTGAGAGTTTGGGTTGTTACACTTTTCAAATGATTTTTCATCTTGTATTGATGCATATAACTGTCGATTATGATTTCTATGGGTCATTCTACATAATTCTACTCATCTTATCCCTCTTAGTGATGTAAGATAGAGTGCAAGTACCCTCATTTTTAAGGTCTGAATAGTGAAGGAGCAGTTAGTTGTAGACTCATTGTTTAGGAGTAGGCAATTTTGGTTAAGATAATTATTAAATAAGGTTGGGGCAAAAATTAGATTTTTTGTACACTTTTGTCCAGAGACTTGTGCTTAGGGAGTAGGAGTGGAAGGGGGAGAGCGAGGAGGTGTCTACTATTTACTTAGCTATCGACTCAATTATCATTTTGATATGAGATGTAGTGGGAAAGGGATATGAAAAAGGTTGAAGGGAGAGGTTGAGAGTGGAAGAGATAGGGGATCAATTTTTTGCCATCTTGCTAGCTGATAGAGGTTGAGAGTGCAAGAGATTAGGGGTGTCAAAAATCGACTCTACACAGCAACTACGGCCTCTGTGGCCAATTAATATTATTATAGTCACCAACTATGGTCTTTGTGGTCAATTGATGCTAATGTAACTTTCCAACTAACACTATTGCAGTACGAACTATGATCTCTGAAACCAATTGACGCAACTACAACTTTCAAATATAGCCTTTGTGGCTAATTGACGCTATTGCAATTTGTAACTATGGCTTTTGTGGCCAACTGGCGCTATTATAGGTTTCATCTACATCCACTTTGGTTAATTGATGCTATTACAGTTATCAACTACGATTTCTGTGGCTAACTGGTGCTACTACAACTTTCAATTGTCATTTCTGTGGCCAACTGATGCTATTGTTATCACCAACTACAAAATCTATGGCGAATTGATACTATTGCAATTATCAACTCTGAAGTCAGCTGAAGTTACCACAACTTTCGACTACGACAATTGTGACCAATTGATGTTATTGCAATCACTAACTGTGATCTCTGTGATCAACTGGCCCTATTGTAGTATCCAACTACGTCCTTTATGGTCAAAAGACGCTATTATAGCTTTCAATTATGACTCCTGTGATCAATTTATGCTACTTCTGTCACCAATCACGACCTATGTGGCCAACCGATGCTATTACTCCAACTATGACCTCTATGATTGACGCTATTGCAATCATTAACTACGGACTCTGTGGCTAATTAATTTTACTATAACTTTCAACCATGACCTTTATAGCCAACTAACGCTATTGTTGTCTCCAATTACGGTCTCTGTGACCAATTGATGCTATTGTAATCACTAATTACGACCTCTTTGGCCAATTGTTGCTATTGTATTCACCTACGGTATCTGTATTCAACTCATGCTATTACAACTTTTAATTACAGCTTCTGTGGATAGTTTATGCTACTGTAGTCATCAGTTATGGTCTTTGTGACCAACCGACGCTATTACAACTTCCAACTACGACATCTATGATTTATGCTATTACAGTCACCAACTATGTTCCCTGTGGCCAACAAACACTACTACAGCTTACAACTACGGCCTATATGACCAACTGATGCTATTACAATCTGCAAATATGACCTCTGTGTCCGATTGAGGCCATTACACTTTCCGGCTATGAACTACAACTTATGTGACCAATTAATGTCATTGCGGTCATCGTTTGTAGCCTCTGTGGCTGACCGATGCTATTACATCTTCCAACTATAGTTTTTTGTGACTAACTACCGCTATTATAGCCTCAACCTACGACCTCTGTTGCCAACTCTTGCTATTGCAGCCACCGACTACAACCCTTATAATCAACTATTACATTTGTAGCATCCAACTACGACTGTTGTGGCTAACCATTACTATTACAGCCAAGAATCACATTTTTTGTAGCCCAATTATGGCTATTATAGGTGAATTGCTATTATACATCTGTAACTATTAGAATTGTAATCTCATCTTCACGCTGCACTAAAACGTTAAATGATCACTCAACCGATGTGAATCTTCCGGCATGCAACAACATTAACTTTACTCTAGAAGGCTAGAAGCAGAATTCCTATTATAAAATGCTTGCTAGTTGATAATTTTGATTTATGTTTATTTGTAATTGTACTCAATCTACTTATTGAATGAGAAACAAATTGAAGAATGGAAACCTTGTCAATAGCATATATCTTTAAATATTAACTGATTATTCTTGAAATCTGCTTACTGGATCTTTCGACTTCAAACTTGCTTCTGAAAATCTTTTTGCTCTTGCAGAAATCTAATGAAATCGAACTCCAACTTTTGTGGGAGCGCTTTGTCACAATGAATGCTCGTTGTAGTGAAATTGAGGGTCAAAAGAAAGCTAAGATTCAATCTAAGGTAGTTTACTATTATATGAATTCTGCTCTTTGTATCTAATTTGTTTTTATGATCCATCTTTTTTATCATTAATGTTTACAAGTACTTCCAGGCTAGTGTATCAAACCGCATCAAAGAGAGAGAGAGTGAGCGTGATCTTGCAGAACAAGAGTTGTCAAGCCTTAACCTCTCTCATATAGATGAAAGGGAAAGAAACCTGGTGCGTAATTTTCTACATTAGAAGCTACTTTCACGTAACATTTCCCATTTAGTTAGACAGTCTCGAAACAATCATCCTTTCCATGAAGCAAATAGAGGTTGAGAGAAAGACCCTGGCCTTGGGGGAGAAAGATTTAGAGTCTACCATAAATCAAAAGAGAACAGAAATATTTAGCTTGGAGCAAAAAATCAGAGCTCTTTACCGTGAAAAAGATGTTATGGCGAGCGATTCAGAAGATCGAGTCAAGTTAGATTTGAAGAAGGAAGAAGTAGAAAATTGCAAGAGGAAACTGAAAAAAATGCAAGTTCTCCATATTTTCTTTGATTTCAACTTGTTACTTGGTACTTTCACTAATTTCATGTTTTATTCATTTTTTGTGACTTTCAGAATGGATGAACATAAAGATAAAATTCGGAGCGTGCTAAAAGGGAGACTGCCCGCAGAAAAGGATCTGAAGATGGAGATTGTTAATGCCTTTGGGTAAGTTTGTAGCTTTTTTTGGCATTTTTATTGGCATATGATTTCGATGCTTCAAACTTGTTGAAAAAATTCTCTCATGAATTTCACATATTATATCTGTGAAGATTGCTAACTTCTTCTTTCTATATAATCTTGTTATGCCGAAACAAACTAAAATCTAAGGTGGTGTTTGGTAGCATCCTATTTATTGGATCTAGCCATGGACCAAACATAAAAACAAAATAAAATTAATTCCAGAGTTAAGTAAAATCAAATTTTCTCGCATTCCATCTTCTTCTTCGAGCATTCTGTCACTTCGTAAATTTGGATTTACTAAATATGACTGTAAGATAGATTTATTCCCCTGTCTTTGCGAGCAGATTCGTCGCAGTGTGGATTGGATAAATTTTGATTTATCGGATATGATAAATTCTATTTAACTTAAATCAAAGTTGCTGCCAAACACGGCCCGAGACTTTTAATATGATCATGTAATTTTGAGGATTATGTTTTGTGTTTAGAGTTTGGAATTCTGCTGACTGATTGCGTAAAATCAGTTCTTAATGGAAAATCAAAATTGCTGCGGCATGCCAAGATTACCCACTTTTTGCTATTATCTTTTTTTTTTAAATTATGCACCCGGTGCCAAATTAGACAGTCTTTTTATAGAAATGAAGTCTAATAACTGTGGATATTTGACGCTGATTTCAAATTGCTTCTTCTTGTCAGAACTTATTCTACAAGACTGAAATAGCCATTCTTTCACTTAGCAGTTTATTCTTATCCTCGACTATAGCTTGACTGTAACAATTATTCCTTTACTTAGCCAAACATTATTCTACAAGGACTGTAACAACCATTCCAATGTTTTGGAAACTACAGGGGACTATTCCTATTTAGCGGGTTTGTAATTCTATATGGGTTTGTGAGTTTTTAAATATCTTCTTCCTATCTAGTTACCTTAGTGATGTGGACGTAGTTGGAGACTTGCTACGGGAGGCGGAACCGGACTGCTGTGGCTCCTGTAGTAGGAATTCATTCGAGTGAGCTTCGCTTCTTTTCACCTTAGACTGGTCGTCCGGTTCAAGTGGGGAAGTCCAGGAAGCTAGCCAATCCTACTTTACGGGATTTGCTGCCAATCAATGTGGGAACCAATCCCATGTTACCCTAGCTTATATATATTTGTTTTCTATTTGTGTTGGAGAGGTTCTTGTGTTTGTTTCTATTTTGGACAGTCGTTGGTTTCTAGTGTTCTCATTCGAGGTCTGTATTCGAAGGCAAGAAGTTGTTTCAGCAGTAACTCGTCTAAGGTGATGACCGTCTCCAAAGGATGAATGGTGCTCTGACTGTATTTCAATATCATGGAGATATATATCATTGATTTCTCATCTTTCGCAACCATCGCTACTGCAGTCGCCGACTTTCTTCTCCATCGGAACCAACGGACAAAACCCTTGTTGTCTTCTTGCAACTTTAGTTGCTAGCCATCATCTTCAACTGCTGCCATCCTTTCCAGGCACCGTCCACTGTGCTACCACTCATTCTAGCCACCTGTCTTCACTGTCCATCCATCCATCAACCCGAATAGCTCTCGCACATCACTCTTTGATGTTTGCTTCCTTTTCGACATCAGGTAAATGACCGCTTTGTTGTTTTCTACTTGTCGATCGCCTTTTTTATCTTCATTCCACCTTCCAACGCTCACCGACCACCCCCACCACCATTCTTGAGATACAGTCTAGTTGTGTTTGTTTGTGTATTTTTCCTTTAAGTGTGTTGGTTGTAACCAACCTTTTTTTAAGCATTATTATTTGCTTTTCTTATTGTTTTTTGGCTTAACTCTGATATCATTTGGTATCGAAGAACCTAATATATTATTTGCTTTTCTTATTATTTTTTGGGTTAACTCTGATATCATTTGGTATCGAAGAACCTAATCTTAGTCCTATACTAGCATTGCCCCCCCCCCCACAACCAAAATTTTTTTTTTCTTTTTCCTCCACCCTATACGCCTTTTTCCACCTACTGACACCCCCAAAACCCTAACCATGCCTTCGAGGAGACAATTGACGGAATCAGACCCAAAATCTATTATGGATGACATATAACTGCTACTCTGCTGAGTGCTACATCGGGTTGACGATATTGAGGAAACACCTTAGGGTGTCATCATCGATCGTAGTAATGAAATCCGTGAAGGAGAGCAAGAAGAGCACTTAAATCCCTTTTGTAGGGATGTTTTCAGTGGAGAAGAAAACATACCACAACGCTTTGAGGTAGAATATCAATGGAGGCCTAGAGTTGAAGTGCTTATTGGAAGATATAAAGATGAGGTGCCTGCAGGAGGATGTACAGTGATGAGATGCCTGTTAGATGGTACATATATGAGGCGTCTGTTGGGAGATACAAAGATGAGATACTTGCTAGATGGTACAGAGATGAAGTGCTTGTTAAAAGATACAAAGATGAAGTGCTTATTGGAGGATACAAAGATATAAGAATGAAAATGGCCCTGCCAGACTTAAAAGGAGAGAATGTATCTAGATGACTTCCTTCAGTGGATGCGGACTATTGAGCAGATCTTTGAATACAATTAGGTGTCCGGTGATAGAAGAGTAAAGCTTGCTGCCATCAAGCTGAAGGAGAATGCTTGTTTGTGGTGGGAGAATTTGAAGAGGGAGACAGAGAATGACAAGATTGGCATGGACAAAAGTTGTCTCGTGGAGTTTTTCATTGGGGACCAGCTGCATGGTCAAACTTGGTGCAACGTTGTGCCTATGGATGTCTGACATCTTTTGTTGGGGAGACCGTTACAATTTGATCACAAGACTTAACATAACGGGTTTTGGAACACCTACTCCACCAAAGATGGTAGACACATCGTTTTTCTACCTTCTTTGGAGTTTGAGGCCATAGGTACCCTTACTAACAAATGACAGGGGTCCACAAGAGAGAAGAGCGAGGAACAGACACAAGACAACTAATGCAACGAGAGTTTCATGACATCTTGGTCGATAGCTTACGTCCTTGGCTGCCACCTGATAGGGAGAGTCAGACTGTCCATACCTCAGATCGAGTTGAACCAACCTTAGGTTGCGTTTGAAGAATTCATCAGAATGCACTTGGCACAGAATCATTGTTCAACTCAGCAATGTACACCAAATGATTGAATTGATATGGATGATTACTTGCAGGTGGGTAAAACTATATAGGTATTTTGGGAGACAATGCAATCGACAGTGGGATCTAAGTGCTTTTTGGGCTGCCACCAATGATCCTTTTGCTCGCGAGGTTACAACAACTTCATCGCCTTCAACGCGTAAACAAAAACTTAGACGAGTGAGGTCAAAGCCCATGGTGATTGACATAGACGTAAATAAAACCTTGTCGCGGGAGGCGGAACTGGGGTCTGTAGGTCATGTATCAGGAATTTGTTTGAGTGAGTTGCGCTTCTTTCCACCTTAGATCGTTCATCTGGTTCAAGTGGGGAAGTTCAGGGAGCCAATCAACTTCATGGAATTTGCCGCCAATTGAGGGGGTGGGGGGGGGGGGGGGGCGCTATATTTCAAGGCGAGAAAATGTCACGTCTGTAACTCGTCCGATGCGGTGACTGTCTCCTAAGTATTGAATGGTGCTCCGATTGTAGTTTGATAGTGTCGAGAGATTTATCATCGATTTCCTATCCTTCGCAACCTCCCTTTGCCGCCATTGCCTCCTTTCCTAGCTGCCAAAACCACCAGACATCACTCCATCTATCTTCTTGCAACTCGAGCCTTCAACAACCACCTCCTCGACTTGTAGCCATCCTTTCCAGCCACCTCTTACTTTGCTGCCACTCATTACAACCACCCATCTTCGCTGACCAACTATCCCCCTTTTTTGTCGCAGCCCTGGGACAACCCTCCCTTTGTTGTCCCGAAGACCCACGCCTCCCCGCTGCTATTGCCATCATTTCAGCCCTTCATTCTTGCTGCGATCATCCAAGCAGCCCTCCCACATCAATCTCTGTTGTTTGCTTGCTTTCTGGCACCGGGGAAACAACCGCTTTGTTTTTATCTACCTGCAACCGCCTTTTCCTCCCCCGCACATCTATCCAAACTCTCGCTGACCACCACTATCATTCTTGGGATACACTCTAGTTCTGTTTTTTTTGTATCTGTTGTTGTATTTCCTTTCAAGTGTATTGGTTGTAATGGTCTATTTGCCTTTTTTAGTAATATGATTTGCTTTTCTTATTTCAGTTTGGGTTAACTTCGATATCATATAATGCCAGAGTCTATAAATAAATGCATTCTGAGGTATTCAAAAACAAGTTTGGCTTGAATAAAATTTTCAGTTTTTTGAATGGGAAAGTTCTCTACATTCTTTTGGGACCTCAATTCTTTTTCAAGCGCAAGATTTTGAAACATTTCAATAGAGAAGATCTCTTTGTTTAAGTGAGTGGATTGTTGTTTGGTTTATTCTTTTACATTCTTTTAATTAGTGATTGATTAAAATTGTGATTGGTGTATTCCTAAATTTACTATGTATTTGCATTCATTATTAAGCACGATTTTATTATTATTATTATTATTATTTTTTCATGATTTTTATTATTTGGCCGATTTTTTTCGGAGATAAAAACAAAAAAATCTTGAAATTGAATTTTGCTTCTATTCAATCATCATTGTTAGTAGTTAATAATTTTTTGTGTTTGATAGTTTGCTTTCCCTGAAATTTGGATGATTATTCTTGCTTTTGTTGTGTTAAATTGTCCCCATCTCATCTAGAAAATCTATATAATTAATCAGCACATACTTTCAGTTAATCAAGTGCCACTTTGCATAGTAGATTTGCATTATAAAACTTAGACTTTATGACATCTGACCTCAGGTTTGGTATAATAATAATAGCTTATGTTGTGTCATAATATCAATCAAATTAGGACATAATAATAATTTGGTCAACCGATATAATAATAAAATCATAAAAATTAACTTTTATATTATTCTAGATGACATTAAGAATTATATCTTTTACAT